ATTCCTTTAGGCTATTACAAACAACCGTTATGTGAACAAATTCCTAAAAACCCTTGTGCCCAAATGTGCTCGGATATAAAAAATGCGGATCTCCCTATTTTCGATTTTCTTCAGTTCTGAAGGCTGGCTGGAGAAAAATGGACCACCCTAATATACATATCGGTGACCTTCGAAAAAACCATTTATGTATGTATATAATTTTGAAATTTTGGATTTTAGATTTTAAACAACTTTTATTAAAATTTCTGAATATTTCATAATTTAAATATTGTGAGAAATTCGGTCTTCATAAAACTGGCCCAACTCGACATAAATTGTTTTGACAAATGCCGACAGATATCTGTGTATACAGATTTCAATAGGTAGGTATAAGATATTTCGCAAATTGGTGCGAATTCAAATAAAGGGCAGTGCGCATATGTATTTGTATAAGTAGTTGACGTGGAACTTTTCTCATAGAACTTTTTACGACCTCATGCAAAGTTTTTTATTCTCCTTTTTTCTGCTGTCTTGTATATAAAGGAATCTTTTATCAGGTAACACGAAAACTGTATGTGGTGTTTTTTTCTTTTGCTTTTCAACATCATAATTATTATTTTTTTTTTCAAATATTTTTCATGCGATTTCTTCATGCTTAAATAAGTGACAATCGAAAAAGGCATATTGTAAATAAATTTTACAATTTTATAACTTTCATTCTACAATGCGCAAATATTTTAAGTATTTTAAATTTAATTTATTCTTATTTGATTTAAATAATTTTAGACTTTATTGTTTCTTCAAAAGTATTGAAAGGCTTTTCATTTCAATTCGCATAAAATTAATGCATCGAAAAATGTATTTAAACTTTTGCTTACGTACGTACATGCATACGTATTTCATTTATGTTGGTTTACTATTTTAAACAACGAGTCACTACAATTAGCTGAACGATTTGTAACATTTATTTATCGCTTTCATTAAAGTAAATATGTATGTATGTATGTCTTTTAAACGATTAAGTATTATTAGTGCTAGCATACTTAAGGGTACAATATATCGCGTTTGTATGTATGTATGTATACATTTAATATCTTTTCAGTCACAATTTTCGCCCTATGGTTTATCATATTTTTTATACGTTTCTTCGCTATGATATTGCTAAGTATTTATTTGCAGCTACCCGTTTTATTGTAATACATTTTTTTTTACATAAAGTCGATTTTTTCTTAACGGCAATATATAACTTTCGTACGAAAGCAAGAATTAATAATGCGATGACGTGGTTTCGCAACTGCGTTAACACATATTTTTTTATGTGTGTATAAATGTGCAATTGCACTAAAAACTTGTTTTTTTTTGTCATTTTCTCAATCGCAGTTCAACATAAATTCAAATCAATTTTGACTGCAAAATTTATTACTTTCCCAAGAAGTCCCAGTATGAACATACAGTCAGTCAATAAAGTTTAGGTACAGCGAATTTTTTACAATAAAGCCAACTATTTTTTAAATTTTTTACTTCCGCTCATTTTTTTATAAAAATATGATTAATTCTGCAACAAAAATAAGAGTTCCAAATCTTTTGCAAAATTAAAAAAAAATTAGAAAAAAGTTGAGTATGCAGTTTTTTAGCCCATTCAATTATAGTATAATAAAGTGGAAGTATGAGGAAGCTAGGACTTATTATTGATTTTTGGGAATTTTTTTGTTGAAAATGTTTTATAGTTTTTTATATGGAGAACATGAGCGACACCTTCAACAAAAAATTTGTTAAAAATCAATGGTAAGTCCTAGCTACCTCAAACTTGTACTTTGTTATATTAAAATTTAATGGGCTAAAAAACTGCGTACTCAACTTTTTCTAAACAGTGTGTATAAAAAGTGCAAGGTTCGTTAAAAAGAGGTTTCACTGTATATGTTAATACTATCTTGGCGCTAAATTTCATTGAACGTCTAGCTGTTTAAGCGTGTAAGAGTAACAAACATATTTCCACACCCACTCACGAACTTACACACACACAGGACATGGAATATGCTTTGGTAGGATGCTAAAGAAATTTGAATTGTCGCAATGATTTTGATCGAACTGTGACTGAGAAACCGACCGGCCGCATTAGTTAAATTTTTATATTATTTTTATGTTTTTGTTTTTTCGCATTTCTACTAGCGTCGCAGCTTGAATTTGATTTGCCTAAATATTGGTATAGAAATGGACGGGTTAACCTATGTACATACAAACATATATTTTCAAATAGCTAAGTAAACATTTTAAGTAATAATTTGTAATTTTTTATTAAATCTTACATTTTGCTTAAAACTAATTTCACACAGTGAGAGAGCAAACGGTTGTTTTTTTTATATGTAGTTAAAAGAGGTAGAGTTTTTAAATCAAATTGTTATTTCTAAAAACACATAAAATAAATAAAGTACACAAACGTTAAGTAATTATAGCACATTGATACATATTCCTTAATATTCGATGATGTTTCTAAGGCTTTGAAATTTAAACACCATTTGATTTTCAAATAAAATAAATTTTAAATATAATTAGCTTAAACAAAACAAAATAAAATTATATAAAATAAAATAAAAACTAACTATATTCTTAGAGCTCAGTGTGTAAATATCTCAGCTTACAATTATTGATATTTGAAATGGAACATATAAATTTTAGATTTTTCATTAAGAATAATTTACACTGGAGGAAATTTAAGTATTTTTTCATTTTTCCAGCCGTCAAGATCTTTATGTGGTCGATTTTTACTTTTAGATCATGGCAAAATTGATGCTTCATCTTTCCATCCTATTTGATCGTTATTTTTGTTCATTTTTTTATCTTAATAATGGATGTTACATTTTTTCAATCATACTTACTTGCCTCATTAAAGTGCGAGGCTCATGAATTAAGTAGACAACTCACCCTCGAGGGTATAACTTCTGACAGGGAGGGTATAGAAGCTCCTGTGACAACTTACTGTCTTTTCCCGGATTTAATTCCCGCTTTTAATCGGATCAACGATGCAAAGTTGTAAGGTCCTTTTGGTCGGCCCTTCTGCTGCACCGTAGGCGATAGAAGGAGCTTACTTACTTAGCTGACCAAGCCTAAATTCTAGCTGCTGATAGGAGTCCTGACAGGTCACTGTCCACTAGGAAACTCATTACGGTAGCTGTTTGGAGGTTGACTAAATAGGTGAATTAAACACTTTCTCCTTAGCAGTCCTGCTTTCGGTAGGCTAAGGTTTAAGCACCTCGGGTCATATTTCATTCTGTCACCCGAGTGTGAACTCTGTTATTTCGTTATATAGTTTCACCTTTTGCAAATTTCATGACTAAGTTTTTAGCGCTTATTACTATTCGGAAAGGTGATGTGCATATTAATGCATACATATGTCCAGCAATTATCACCTTTTTTGGTAATCACAGAAGTTTGTCTAATAAGGGAAATATATTTAAATTTAAAATACATGCATATGTATGTATGTATGTGCATGCACATTATTAGACCGTATCATAAAAAATATATATTTGTTCCACTTACTGTGAGCGTATTACAGGAGTGAAAATTTTCTTACCGCACCCAGTAAAAACAATTAAATCGTTTTCTCCTATAACTTAATTATTTGATGTCCGATGTCTATAAGTGATATACCGTTGTAAAGGTATTAAAAAAGCCTACATACCTCTTTTAATGCTTTACAACGATGTAACTTGGAACACAAGGAACTTTATTTTGTGATACGGTCTAATGAAGATACCTACGTAAATTAATTAGATGTGCAATATTTCAACGTTAGCTAGTTACATGAAAAAATAAGAATATATCTATCTAGAAAAGGCAAAAAAAACTTTGTAAATACAGCTATGGTCAGAGATATTGCACCAAAATGCAAAAAGATATTGTTTGCAACTTGTGTTTATTTATTTATTTTCATTAATTGTCATATAAAATATAATTCAATCAATAACAGAAAGCACGTAAATAAACGTTTCAAAGAGTTTGGAAAATTGATGAGCATGCAGTTTTGCAGCCTCTACAATTTTATTGCAATAAAGTGCAAGTTTCAAGTCTGTAAAAAATTGTATAATTGTTACATGGAAGAAAATGCGCAAGACCATTGACAAAAAAAAAATTCTAACAAATCTAAGGTAATGTCTAGCCTTTGGAACTTGCACTTTTTAGACTAAAATTCAATTTTCTACAAAACTGCGTACCCGAAATTCTGATTAAAAAGTTTAAAAGTTTTTAAAGTTTGATTAATTTTTGTGAAATTAAAAATCAATAAATACACAAACGTTGCAAACAATATCACTTTGAAATTTCGTGCCATTATTTTGACCGCAGCTGTACATACATATATAATTATTTTTTATTAAATTTACTATTATTTTCGATAAGGGTGGTGCAAATAATGCACCTACCTGATGCGTGAAAAGTATTTATGAACTAAATGCTATTATAACTGTATACAAACAAAATGCCGTAGTTACCTTTAGGAGTAAAAACTCATTGCACATATAATTGATTTACTTCGGAGCATACATATCTATGCAGCATCACTTTTAAGTGGAGAAGATAGTATGTTTTTTGAAGATATAAAAAAATTTAAATTTTTTGTTCTGTAGGCAGTGCAATTATTTGAGAGTTTATTTGATTAGTGGATCTAAATAAACTGAAGATTTTTAAATTTCAGTGGGAACCGCATCGTATGTACTAAATATGTATGTACGAAATCTAAGCAAGACACTCTTGTACTTTTTTAACGATATTCGTGTAAATTTCTCGCAATTAAAATTGCTTAACGTTTAAACTTAAGGTAATGAATGTCACCAAAATTGACAAAAGCAGATTAGTTTTTTTATACATAAATACATAGGTAAAAACAGGCTTTTAAATCTGTTTTTCGAATGTTTGTTGTTGATACAATTTTGCATTTTGCATTAACGCCTGAATACCCCTAGCGTTGCTTTAGCAGCATTGCAATACTTTGAAATTTTTGCTAGTACGTGGCAAACCGCCTACTATTCACACAAATATCATTAACAACAATTATAACATAAAAATAAATAAGAAATATGTACTGGAATGATTGCTCTTGTTTTAAAAACACATTTGATCAACAAACAAAAACAAAAAAAACGTTAATCCATAACGCCAGTAAAACTAATGACTTCGATTAGTTTTATCTACAAACAACTGGTCACATAAATATTACAAATATAATATGTAAGTATGTAAATGCGAAAATAAATAAATAACCGTAATTATAAATATCACTTTTTTTCGTTTATACCAACGATTATAATAAAATAACTTAATTCATTAAGATGAACTTGCGACTGATTCTAATAATTCAACCGCTACTGTAACTACTATGTATTATAGCATACGTATGTATCTACATACATACATATATGTATACTACGCATTTCTATTCTATACCAAACGTATTCGTTTCCTCTACAGCCAACAGCAGCTTCTCGTAGAGCAACTCGGGCGTTGGATAAGGCGGTAAATCGAGGCGATTGAAACAGGTGTGCGCACGTGGCAACGCATTCGGTTTACCCCACTTTTCGATACAAAAGCGCCGGGGGCCCGTCGAACCGCGCAATGCCGAGAAACCTTCATAAGGTATGCTGGAAGTGCCAGTGACGAATTGCAACATCCGCAAGCGCTGCTCATTGGTGAATTTTTCGATGACTTGCCAAAACCAAATTATCACCTGATGGTTATCGTGGTAGCCGGAACGATATTCGGTGTTCAAACGCCAATCGTTAATATCGATTTCTGCTGTACCCGCAATCACCAACTCCAACTCGCGTGCATCGAAAACCGAAACGAGACGCGCATCGACCACTTCGTAAAATCCACGCACCAACGATTCCGTTTGTTCTTGTACACCACGTTCCAAACGCCATTTAATCATGCGCTCTAAATATTCTTTTTTGTTCTTCTCATTAACGATAATATTCTTACCACCCGGTTTCAATTCACGCTCCACCACACGTCCCAACAACTCTTCGGTAACACAAAATGTTAAACCCAAATCGATGCCTGTGCCAATGTCATTGTCGCGTATCCACTGCAACGATTGATGAAATTCATTATCGAGCGATTCCAGATCACTGAGTGCAACAGGCAAACGCAGCAATGCCTTGTAAAATGGGCGTGTAAAGAATGCATCCAAAAGGTATTGGTGTACGAGCGCCAAGCCCAATACTCGACCGCCGAACCGGAACCAATCGTGGCAATTGTCCACAAAGGCCGATAACGGTGAAACTTGCACAGTGTATGTGTCGTTTGCTGAATATTCGAATAGACCATAGTAGGGATTGAACAGCTCACGTGAGAGCAAGAAGAAGAACTCTCTGTACGAACAAGAATCATCAGTATAAATATGAAGTAATATTGAAAGTATATATTTTGTTTGTATAAAATACTTACCTTGAGGGGCCGCCATAATCCAAGCCTTCCTCCGTGTCCCATAACACAGCGAGACGTCCACGCTGCAAATCTTTCTTATTGGCAGACATTATACGTCGAAAAGCGTCCTCCAGCAGATGAGTGCGCCGAATATGTAATCTAAAAGAGAACATAGTTAGTATAAATAAGTATAAGCATGAAACTGAGTAATTGAAATACAAATAAACTTATTATTTTGTTACGTCTTCTTACTTCAGTTTGTGTGGACCTTGTCCGTAGCCTTTCGACTCCAGTTTGCGATAGAAGCCTCGCAACTTTGCCTCGAAATCACGCCGAAATGGTGGCGGTGCCCGCTGTGGCATGCGTGAATTTAGCACTGGCGAACCCTGTGGACTGCGTTCTTCTATAGGAACATAGCTCATAATCTCCTGTTCGAAAAGACTGTAAAGAAAAAAATGTTAAAAAAAAAAAGAATTTTAAAATCGGCGTAAAACACTTGGGTCACAGTTATGGTTAGAATTAAACTGCATCTTAAAAAAAATTTCACAAATTTTCGAAAGCATTCCCCCTTTGTGCATTAATGTGAGACCTAGTGAAAGTGGGCTGGATGATTGTGGAGACAGCGATTAGAAACCGTGGATTCGCATAGTAAATCCTAGAAATTCGCTGGTCAAAAGCAATTGAGCTGAGTTACTTACATACGTCAATACATTATTAAAGGGTTTTAGAGGATATTCAAGGATGCCTTTGTTTAAATGATATTTTAAATTTTTTAACGGATATATTTTCTGTGATTTAAAAAGGATTATTTTAAACAAAAAATACATATTTTTATTTATTTTTTTATTCTGTGAACACCTCTGGGACTAATTCAAATGGCGACTCCACCCTAATCTAATCTTAGCTTACGCAGCTCTCAGCGAAAATCCCTACCCAAACTCTTTTGCTTTCCACTTTCAGGGCCAGATGTAGCCGTTCTAAGGTCCTTCATATAGCCCCTTTGTAAACGGAATGATTGGAGCACCGCACGAACACCGGAGCTACTAGATAGGTCGCGGTACAGCAGATTCCTTTCCGGGATTCCCTGGATTCCCCTTTTCCGCCACTCTACCTCCATACCTCTAAAAAAAAACGATCCATAGGAACTACAACAACAGCCTCAACTAGAGGTACGGCCCCACCGAGCTGTCCTACGAAAGCAAAACGCCCGCAAGAAAGATACCCAGGAGGTTCAACCACGCTCACCAACATTAGTAGCAAGTTTTAAAATCTTCCCCAGAGCACAACCTGTTCGTCGTTTGGTCATTGCCCCGATCAGAAAGGCTAAGATCTAAAAGTAGAACTTTACTTAGGTGCTAGAAGCCTTTTTCAAATTTCGGCAACAAATGTAAGAAAAGGTGGAGTAATAATATTTTGGCGCTTACACTTTTTCTAAGTGTTTGGCGAAGCTTCTCCTCTAATTTGTGGTGTACGTCTTACTTTTGTTACACAAAAGGTGATACCTACATTTTTACACCGCCAACTGCAACTGGCAACTGGATTTTATTAGAAGCTGCTAGAAAAAAACCTTTAGAAAAGGTTAGATCGAACTAAGCCACAGCGGTCACAAAGCTCTACAAGGATGATATCGATAAAACAGGATAGGAGCTCGTCTGAAAAACGGTGAATCTCGAGGAACATAACCGGGAAAAATTACAGTGTGTTCAATATGGTCAAACAGGTCGAGCAACAGTGCAGGTAGATGCATGCGAACCACCATGGAAAACTTATACGGCATTGGTAAAAGTGGATTCAAAAATATTGATTCGCCATACCTAAGAGGCTGAGGATATTTTGTAAATTTAATTTTTAATAAAAATGCGTTCTCTAAACACTAGCTAAGAACCACTATGCCTCATGTATAAAAAGTGGGCTTAAGCTCCGACTCGATTTTCAGTCAAAAGTCTTGACCTTGAGCTCACTTGATCAGTGCCAAAATTGAGTCACTTTTTATGCATGGGAGCCAATATTTCAAGTATTTTCAACCAAAACTAATATGTACAGCATAAATAAACTAAAAAATATCACTTAAGAATTTACATTGAAGAAAAAAACAATATGCAACTGAGTTGAAATTAAGCTGCAATTAGTTAACATTTGTTAATGTCCTTCGGGGAAATAAATGTACGCAAATTAGTCTATAGTCAAGTGTAAGTAGTCACCATCGATTACTAATATTAATGCTCAAACAATTTGTTGAGATTAAATCGTAAATTGACAATTCAAAAATGTTACACAAATGGTAGCAATGAAATCATAAGATTTATCAGCTACACACCGAGCTTTGGTTGCATAGTTCTGTTATTTCGTGATGCATATTTTTATGGTGTTCATCGCTTTGAAAGTTAATTCGAATAAAGGTATAAGAAAATATAATCTTTACAGATGTGCGATTAATTGATTAAATATTTTTTTTTTTAATTCTGTTAATTAGATTCTGAGTAAATACAATTTACCCATAAAAAGTTAATTGAAATCGAAGTAAATTTGTTAATTTCCTACGAGTTTGCTTTCAAAGCAAGTGGTGGAGTAATAAACGTTCTGTTTAATACATAATTTTATAATTCACCTCCCTGATCTGTAGCAGCACTGATTCGAGCCTGTCACTTACTAGAGAGGTAAAGAGAACTTTAAGTTAAAACTTACAACAATCTCTTAATCAGAAATAAGTTAAAGATTTTTTCAAAATGAGTGCGGCACCACCCTCAGTATACATCGGTAACCGTAGTTTACAGAAAGATGTAAAAAAGATATTTAATACGTGCACCGGGTATACCATATATAAAAATACCGGTTTCGCCCAACTTATACCTCTGTACATCTTTTATTTTTAAAAAGCGACTAGTCCACGTTTGCACCATATTACGAGAACCAACGACCATCGCAAACAATTGCGAGAACACTGTTAAAAACATGTGTCGACAAAAAGCTCGATCGATATGTTTCAGCAATTCTATTTATGCGAAAAAGTACCGAGAGAATTCTCAATTTTTAAAACGAATCAAGCGACCCAACTATCGAGCGGTCTTTACACTTGCCTTTATTTTCCGAAGCTTAGGTTTAAGGTACTTAAATTTAATTACGTATACAACTTTGTTGACTGACTGATTCCACCTGCATATTTTTACAGCGTTTTTTAATTAAAAAAAAAAATCCCGCATAAAAAACTTGTTTGTTTAAAATTAACCTACGAAGATAATTTTTTTTTTCAGCACCGACCTGATACCCGGACATGTGAGTATAAAAAAATAATTTGCATTAATTTCCCTTGAACTACTACACATAATTGAGCAAAGCTGATAGACCACATTTGGCAACCAACCAATTACTTAAATTTGCAAAAAAAAAAATTGTGTACACATTTTAATTTATGCAAATAACAAATTTACATGAAATTATATAAATTACCTGCATATGTCTATATGAAGTGTGTACATACATATGTATGTATATGCCCAAATAAAAAGAAAACAAATGAAAAGCTTAAATTTCTAACGTGAATGTTTTCATTTCAAATTACACCACCGCATGGTAAGACTGGAAATGCAAACCAACTGTGCCGGTAAACCGTCATCCATTGGTCACGATAAATACTCAGCCAGCAAACACGTGCGTGCGTGCATGAGCCATAGGCACCTCAGAATATACAAATGTTTGCATATACATATTTATACAAAAACCACCATGTACATACATACATACATATTTATAAACAATATTTACTATATTTTTATATTCACTGTTTATTTACTAGTTGCTTGTTGTGGAGGAGGGAAAAAGGAGTGATGTTCCTAAATACTATATACTTAGTGTCATCTACGCCCCCCAAGCGCACACATGGCTCACTCCACACTCCTCACTCATGCACGCACATTCACGTCATGGGGAATCGCATCACCCAACCGAAATTATTTATATTGTATTACTCCATTCATCAATGCAAAAAGCTCAAATAGCATTGTTTTTGTTATAGTGTTCTGTTAAGTGTCATCATGCACATGACTGTCCATTCGGTCAGTTAATTGTGATCAAAATAAGTCTTAATGAAATAATTGCATTTTAAACTCGGCAGCTCTCCGTTGGTGTTGTGGCCCACAATGCGGTGAGGAACTGTCGATGTTTTAACTTTCATTTATTTTAATTTTTTTTTTGTTTTTGTTTTGTTTTGTTATTCGATTCTCAGTTTGGTTTTGCTATGCTACTAGTCATTTTCACATTCATTTTGAGTCAATTAAATGAAAGCAGAAAATACGTGCGTATGTATGTATGTATATATCAACATATGTACTTAATTTTTCTTGATAAATTAAGGAAAAAACTGGCGATCTAATATGGACACGCCAAGCAAACGACGGGATGATGAT